ACAGCTAGTAAGTGTCAAGTGTCTGAGGCCAGATTTGAACTCAGGTCTTCCTGACTCCAGGGCCAGCTCTATCCATTTGGCAACCTAGCTTCCCCAGCAAACATTTATTAAGTACCTGCTGTGTGCTAGGCTCTAAGCAAACAAAAGAATGGGGTTGAATTAACCAAATCACCTCAGTTTGTGTATTATCCAAGTCTCTAGTTTCCTCCTGCTATATGCCTTACCATATTACTATTTATTTGCACCCTCCCCGAGGGGATGTCCAGGAGACAGAAAACAGCCTGCTTTCTTTCCAATAGGAATCTCTGTTTTTGGTTAGTGGTATCTCTAGAGCAGAGGTTCCCAAAGTGGGCCGTCCTGGGTGCTGGAGCAATCCGCGGGGGTGGTAGCAACCTCAGATGCAATTGGAGGGCGCTGAATAAAAACAAGAGAGTGGTGGAAGGGTAAGGAAAGCAGAGAAGGTAAAATTTTGAAAAATCATTCTTACATGTTTTATCTGTCGTGTAACAGAGTTAACGTCATAGGGATTACATTATTTCTCCCCCCCCACCAAAAAAACCCCCCCACACAAAATGCAAGTTAAAATTGATCAGTGGTCAAGTCCACAGACAGGTCTTGACAAGCAAGTGTTGGCAGGCCAGGGTGTCACACATTGTGAAGAAGTCCAGCATGTATGGGCAGGAATGTGTGTGTAACGACTTGGTTACAATAAGATACTATATGGTTACGTGACACGACATTTTGTCATGAAAATCTCAATGCAGTCAAAATTATTAAATTTAAGATGTGTTATTTTAAAATATATACAATTTTACATTTTTTGAAATAACTCAAATTTCAAAAAAGCTGTGAAAGGGGTAAAGAAAATAGATTTCCATGGGGACAATGAGCAATTTTTTTTTTTTATATAAGGAGGCAGTAGACCAAATAAGTTTGGAAATCTCTCCTCTAGAAGATCTGGCCAGGAAGGAGATGGCCAAGTAAGGTCTAGGGAAAATATGGATGGGACAGCTAGGTGGCACAGTGGATAGAGTCCTGGCCCTGGAGTCAGGAGGACCTGAGTTCACATTGCTCCTTAGACCCATAACACTTACTAGCTGTGTGACCCTGGGCAAGTCACTTAACCCCATTATCTAGCAAAAAAAAAAAAAGAAAAGAAAAAAAGAAAAATATGGATTTCAGCTCTGCATGATACACTCCTGGATTTCTCCCTAAACTCCCTAGGAGTAGGTATTGTATCACTCTTCGTATTTGTCTAGCAAATACTCTGAGGCTCTTATCCCAATCCCCACTTGACCCTTTGGGTCTCCACAGCCCCAAAATCCCTTCAGGGCTCTAGGATTAAGTGGTAAGAGATGCTCAGATACATTTACAAAGAAGAGAACAAGTCTCAGTCAACCAATAAGTCAAATAATTAATTAAGTACAGTATGCCCTTGGATGAACTGGAGTAATCATTTCCCATTTTCCCTTGAGCATCCTAGCTTCATCCCTAGGAGAGTCGTTGGCTGTTTCTGCATTAGGAGCCAAGGACTCATTGGGTCCTGATTCCTTCAAATGCCAGAAGAAAAGTTCACCATGCCTAAGGGGAACTTCCTGAGCATCCTGTGGAGGCATTGGTGGGATGGAGAGTGGGGAAAGGACTTTTAGCAATCAGTAGTAATAAGTTCCTCCTTGACCACACGTGCTGGCTAAGCCTGAGGCCACTTCTGTTTGCACTCTGTTAAGTTCTTGCAATGCACAGACATTTGAGGGGAGGCTTTGTACCAACAGCTCTTATTGTGATACCTTAGTAAATACCTTTTTCTAAAAACTACTTGAGTATGGCTATTTAAACTAATTCTCCACTATAATCGGAAGGAAGTACACCAATGGGGGCTCATGACCTGCCAATAGAAAAATGACCCTCCAATTCCTCAGAGTTAATCCTATAGCTCTGAGGGGATTTAGGAGCTCTGGGGGCCCAAAGGGTCAAGTGGGGTTTGGGATAAGGGCCTCAGAGTATTTGCTACACAAATACAAAAATGTGATACAATCCCTATTCTCAGGGAGTTTAGGGAGAAATCCAGGAGAGTACCTTGGAGAGCAGAAATCCGCATTTTCCCTAGACCTTACTTGGCCATCTTCTTCCTGGCCAGATCTTCTAGAGGTACCATAAACTCAAAGCAGAGATTCCTCTTGGAAAGAAAGCAGTCTGTTTCCTGTCTCCTGGACATCTCCTGAGGGAGGGTATAAATAAATAGTAATATGGTCAGGCAGATAGGAAGAGGAAAACAGATGTGGATAATATACAAACTGGATAATCAGCTTCTACATAGTTGAGAGTTGACTGTTCCTTATTAACTAATGGTGATGGGTGATTCCCTCCCATGTTCCCCTCTTCTCCACTCACTCTGTAGCTCTTGGACCTGCATGGAGTGATTCTAGGCCTAAAAGGAACTGACTTTCCTTGGGCCCAACCAATGCTTGTCTTTTTAATTGAGAATGCTATGGAACAGTGCCAAAGAGGGTTAATGCTTAAGGTAATGAGAATATTGAAAAGCAATTTGATTATGGAGTGGTAAAATGGACATAGCAATGGAAGTAGAGTCTTGGGGCCTGAGTGTGAATCCTGACTCTGATACTTACTACATATGTGACCTGTCCACTCAATCTCTCTGGGCCTCAGTTTCCTCATCTGTAAGATAAGGCCTCTTCCAGTTCTGGGAAAAAAGATCCCTAGAGAACAGTAAGCAATCTGTGATAGCAATTTACATAGACTTTAGGGGGTCAGAAATGGAAGGTCAGAAGACAGACCTTCATCAATAAAGAGTCCACCATGTGCTTGGGCAGGATAATAGGTACTTGAGATGCAAATATAAAGAATGAAACGATCCTTGCCCTCTGGGAGCTTGTATTCGAATTCAGGAGATAACAAGGCTAGAGGTTAGAATATACAGAATAAATATAAGGAGAACAAATACACAAAAATGGGATGTAGTTAAGTACAAAGAAGTTTGTAAGGGAGGGGGCTAATAGTTGGTTTGGAGGGCAGGGCTTCGTATAGAAGGAAGTGTTTGAGCTGAACTTTGAAGAAAAAGGATTCTATAAGTGGAATGATTGAGAGGGCATGCGTTCCAGGTAGGGAGGACAGTTAGAGCAAACACACAATATCTTATTAACAAATAATTTTTTCCAGAATTGACTTTTTTCTCAATTAAAAAAAAATTTATTTTCAATTGAGGGAACAAAACAAGCATTTCCATAACAGTACAATAAAAAAGATGATTGCACATGAAACTGCAAATCTACCACATACAACTCGCTATTCTCTCCAAATATACAACAGAATCTTTTTTTTCCCTTTTTTTCTTCCCTCCACCTTTCCCTGTCCTACAGATGGCTACCATTAGACACAAATAAGGATATATATGCAAATATATAAACATATATAAATATATGTAAAATTATTCTATGCATACTTCTATTTATCAGTTCTTTTCCTGGATGAAGATAGCATGTCTCTTCATATGTCCTTCATTTTTAATTCATGTATTTATAATAGTCAACCTTATAGATTATTTCCCTGATTCCCCTCTCCCCACTTTTTTTTTTGAAAGGGGAAATTCTGGTTGTTGTTTTTCTTAACCCAAAACAAAATGTCAAGTCTTCCAGAGATGGAAGATAGGGAAAGTCAGCTCTTTAGGAATTTTTCCCTTGCATGTAGCCAAAATCATCTGAGAAAACAGGTCATATGAGGGGAAAAAGATCTAAGGGTCTTAATAGACCACAAGCTCAATTCCATATGCATGAGTAGTGTGACTTAATTGCTAAATGATGGTAATACGATCTTAGGCTGAATTGAGAGGTAATGTACAGATCAAGGGAGGTGATATACACTCTGTACTCTCCCTGAGTTTGATGACCTGTGTATCATATCCAGTTCTGGACGCCATTTGGAAGAAGACACTGACACGCTATATCAAGGAGAGGGTGATCTGGATGGTGACTGATCACACCAAACTAGGCCTGGGTCAAGGGACTGGAGGTGTTTCCATGGAAGAAAAGGGAACTGGGGAGGTTGAATATACCAGCCTTTGAGCATAGGGAAGGTACAGAGGGATCCCACTTGTTCTGCCTGGCCCCAGAGAGCCCATCTGGGGATCTGGGACCAAAGAAGGAAGCCACTCCAAGGTGAACGGAAAGGGGAACATCCTAATGAGCAGAATATGGGACGGGCTGCCCCAAACTGGAGTGGATTACTGGGTTGTGCTTGGAGTCCCAAAGACCCAAAGACATGTACTGCCTGTGTGACCCTGGGTAAGTCACTTATCTTCTCTCCCTCATTGCCTCACCTGTCAAATGAGGTGCTTGGATTAGACCACTTCTTAGGTCCCATTTAGCTCCAAATCAGAGGTTCTTAATCTGCTTTTTTTTTTGCCTTCTTAGAAGAATTTCTAACTGTATAAAATGAAAACCATTAAGAACACCTGCTCCAAATTTATGCTGTCTCTGGTCCCCTTCACAAACTTAATGGCTGTGACCTTACTTGTACCTTAGTTTCCTCAGCTGAAAAAATGAGGGGGATGGGCTGGTTGACCCCTAAGGTACTCTCAGCTCTCAGTCTATCGTCCTAGTATCCCCTTCCTCCCATCCCCTCTTCGGGGATGCTGGAGGGGATTCCTGACCAAGTCAGGTTGGGCTATCTGGCCTCTATCTGGGGTCCCTCTGCGATTCTGATCCTTCAGAGTGAGCCTCCGGGCTGGAAAGAACAGTCACAGCCAGATCAATGCTTCATCCATTAACAGGTTGCTTCTCTTTTCCCGAGACACTCATAACCTGGTCAGACCTGTTTTGGTTGAGTACTAACGTGTGAGCTCCATATGCAAATGAGCCCATGTTGGCTGTCCTTTATTTTACTGTATAAGGCCCTCGCAGCCAATCAGGGGAGGGGGAAGTGACTTAGGGAATTCCCGGTTGGTGGCCTATTGCTTAACATCCTACAAAATGATTTAAAATTAATGTCCTATGCATTCATCTTCACTCTTTTGAGGCCTGGGAAGTGATAGAACCTAACACCACACTAAGATTGGCCATCACCTACCTCTAGGAGCTAGTCTGTCTGTTTCCCTCTGCCCAGCTTTCTCACCAGACCCTGCTATTGGATTTCCCAACAGAATCTTTAGTTAAATGAGGTAAGTTGAGTTGGGTTTTTTTTTTTGCTCTCTCTCTCTCTCTCTCTTTTTTTTTTCAATGTTGTATTGTTAATACCTGAGCGAGAAGAGAAACCCATGTATTCTGGCCGGGACAGCCTGCCTGGAGCCAGACAGCTGAGAAACTGAGATCTTTGGCCCCTTCCTCCCTCCCTCCCTGAGGTCGGTTGGGGCAGAAAATGAAACCCTGCTTGCTTTGGGTTGGCTGCCTCCCTGGTTTTCACTAAATTTTATTTCTCACCAGAACAGGGGTTCTTAATCTGGAGTTCATGAATGTTTTTTAACTTCAGTTCGATATAGTTGGTTTCCTTTGCATTGTATTTTATTCATTTAAAGCCCTTTTTCTGAGAAGGGGTTCTGGACAGCCAAGGAGCCTAGAACACAGAACAGGTTAAGAACCTTTACTTGAGTCCCAGAGGAGTGGATTTGGCTATTGAATGTATGTGTGTGTGTCTGCTGCCTTGCTCCTGGGTCCCCAAGGGAGTCACTGTGAACTCCCAAAGTTTCTGCCCTTGACCTTCTGAGGTAGCCATCTCCCTAGGTTAGGAAATACACAGACAGGTAGAGCTAGCTACTGGCTTGCTAATTAGCTGCCCTGCTCTTAGCCTATGGTCCTGTTTCCTAGAGACATCTCTTGTTTGTAATTTCCCTGACTTGGGAGCGTTCTGTAGGGAGGCTGCAGCCAGCAGAGCCTCGTGGTGGCTTGATGGTAGTAAATACCTGGAGATGGGAGGTGGGGGTGAGGAGGGGAAGGGAGAGGGGAGGTCAATGAAGTGATCCAAAATTCCTTTTTCGCTTTATGCTCCCGATGGGGTTAGACAGCCAGAAGAAACAGGTGGAGTGGGGAAAGGGAAGACAGCCTAAGAAATATCCCTGTTCGGGTGGTGGGGGTATGAGGGGAGTTGGAGAGGGCAAAGAATCCTGCCATACTGCAGGAGGTTCGACTGGCCAGCCTTTTGTTTACTTTCTGAAGGGACAGTGTTGTTGATGGTGGTGACTCAGTAGCTCCTGAAGCCTTCCCAAGGCACAGAGCCTCCTGGTTCCGAATCCCGGGTGTGGGTGATATATGGTCAAGTTTCACCACAGGACAGGAGGGAGGTTATGGCTTGTCACTGGTAGGGAGCAAGAATGCTCCAGGCGGTAGCTCCGAAAGCTCGAACCCGCTGGAGCTTTGGCTAGTAAATCCACAAGCATTTATTACGGTGCTTACTTATTATTTACTCAGTGGTAGATACTACCCAGAGTGACTTCTTTGAAGCTGTGTGTGTGTGTGGTTTTAGATGGTGCAGGTGGCCATATGAGTCTAAGTCCAATCCAATTATAATTCCTCTAGTTGCTGTCTCTGTGTTCATGGTGCTGGTGCTATGGAAAAATCGCCCCGGATTTGGAGTCAGAGCACTTGAGGCAGAATTCCAGTTTGTCCACTTATTACCCGTATGACTTTGAGCAAGTCATTTAATGTCCCTGGGCCTCAGTTTCCTCATCTGTAAAATGAGGTGGCTAGACAAGGCAACCCATTAGGTTACCTAGCCATTTATTCTAGTTTCGAATCTATGAGCCTCCAAGGGCAAGAAAGATTTGGAGAGGAGATACATTAGAACTTGTTGAGGAAAAAAATCAAATGAAGGAACTGGACCCTTGGATGGAGGAGAGAAAGGCTTATTTGTGAGTGTTTGTGTGTGGTGGGGAGCGAGAAGGGAGATGTGTTTAGAAGTAGCCTTTAAGCCCATGAAAGGTTATTGTGGGGCTCTTGAGGGGCCGTATTCTAGTTCTACTGCGGCCCCTGAAAGGGTTCGAACTTTTAAGGGTAGGATTTAATTTGGAGCAGAAAAGCTTTAGGTAGTAGAAAGAATTTTCCTAGTTACAAAGGGCTTCAAGATTCTGGGAAATATTATGAAAGATTATAAAATCTCCTCTGGGGAATACAATTCAATTGCATTCAATCCAGGAAATATTTAGTAAGCTATATAGAAGACATTACGCTGGTCAAAACATTAAAAGAAACAGACACTGCCCTCAAAAAGCTTATATTCTACTGACTAGGGGGCAAGGGATATAATATGTCCACAGATCAGTGAACACAAAGCAATTGGAGGTAGGAGAGCACATTAGCTCACACACAATGGGCACTTAATACATGTTTGTTGATGGATTAACAACTGAGAAAGTGGGGGGTGGGTTTCAAAGATGAGCTAGACTAGAATGGCATCCATAGGACTACTGGGCTAATGGGTCCCCAAACCCCATTGGGGTTCTTTTAGTGCATAAACATGAGTCAGGGGTTAACTCCCAGGTTCCTCACTGTATTGCAGAGAGGAACAAACAGCTGTTATGGGGTGATAGAAGGCCCCAGATACCAGATCTAGGAACAATTGGTCAGGGTTGCAGAGGGACAAACATACAGGGAAAAAACAAACAAACAAGCCCAGCCACGTAAGAGAGAAAAAACAAACCCAGTCACATAAAGGGGGAAAAAAAATAAACCCCACAACGTAAGGGAAGAGTCTAAAAGGTAAAGTGTTCTCAAAGTGGACCTGGCCTCCCTGGACGGGAGGTCTTTGAGCAAAGGCGTCTGATGACCATTTGTTGAGAATGTCAGAGAGATTTCTACTGGAGCACAGGTTAGAACGAGTTGGCCTCTTAAGGTTCCTTCTGAAATTCGGTGATTCAGGAGAATGAAAGAAAGAACTGTGAATATCTTTGTGGGACAGGGTGTTCTGTAAGTTATCTTGACTCGCGGGTTCGGCTGGAGCAATTGTAATCACTCAATCTCGTATTTATAGTACATTGCAAGGAGCTCCCATTAATTTCCAGACTTTATCTAATCCATCTTCAAAACTGCCTTGTGAGCCAGTGGAGGGGCTGGGACGGGTATTTAATTTATACTGTGCCCTACGGAGAACAAAATAAAGATAGGGGAAGATTAGAGTAATCCCCTAAGGTCATGGGATTGTCGGATGATAGAGTTAGAGGGGACCGTAGAAAGTCCCAATCCAGAAAGGTTAAGTTATGCACCCAAGGTCACATAACAAATTGTAGGTAATCAGTGGCAAATTAGAAAGCAGGACCGGGGTCAGGTCAGAGTTGTGAGGCTTTGGGTCAAAGCGCACAAAGAAGGCCAAATAAGTTCTCTGGATCCTAGCTATAGTGACCTGTCCACTCCTTCACTGTTTTCTCTGAAACTGGTCCCTAAGTACAGGGTTCAATTTAGTTCCTGACTGCAGAATGAAGACTAGAAAGGCAGGGTTGGAAGGGGCATGGTGAGGTCATCTAGTCTACCCCTCTGCCCTCAGACAGCAGCGTTTGGTTAAGTCATTCCAAGGTGTGATTTTCAAAAACTGTTTTGGAGTGAAGGCTCAGGGTCTCCTGGAAGAATCCCAAGCAGCTGAAGTTTTGAGGGTCAGATGCAATCTCTGCTCCGACTTGGCTTCTCTCTCCTGCCCCTCTAGATGGGGGCTTTCTGCGGATCGGTTGGCTATAAGATGGCTCATTGCAAACTGGTCTGCTCTTCCAGACTTTGCCAATGTGGGGCTCTGTGGTTTGGGCAAACAAGTCAATTGAAAGTTTTCCTTCTCGGCTTTAAAAAAAAAAAGGAATCGTTGGTGCAAATATAAAATGCTTCTCATGGTAGGAAGAGGGGCAGAGGGAATTCTTAGGCTAGATTTAGAGTCAGGGGATGAAAATTCAAATCCCATTACTTCTCAGGACCTCAGTTTACTCATCCTTAAAACGAGGAGGTGGGTACTAAGATTCCTTGCAGCCCTAGATCACTGATTGTGGGGATCCCAAGGCATCCAGGACATGAAAGGTGGCATGGCAGGGAGTAGGGGGATGGCTAGGAAAGGTGCTTGTATAGTATATGTATTAAAGTCATATTGCTTTGTGTTTAGGACAAGTGGAAAGAATGAATAAATAATAATAGCTAACATCTATATAGCGCTTTAAGGTTTACAAAGCACTTTACATCTGTTACTATCCCATTGGATCCTTGTAACGAACCTGGGAGGAAGGTGCTATTTTATCCCCATTTCACAGATGATGGACTGAGGCTAAGAGAGCTTGAGGTGCCCAGGGTACACAACTAATCTCTGTCAGTAGTAGGATTCCTCTGGCAGGTTTTCTTGATTCCAAGGGCAGTGGTCTACCCACTAAGACTTCTGAATGAAGCTTCATTGAAATGTCCACCTTCTGCCATCTTGATTCAGTGTCTTACTATGTAGGGACTCACCTCTGAGCCAAGAGATGATTCTCTTGTAGTTGCAGGCTGGAATGCATGATCTCTATGGTCCCTACGTGCCTCTCTGATTCCATGATTGTGTTGGGGTAGAGGGTCTTGGGTCAGTGAACCACACCTTGTAGTGCAGGTCAGTAGTTGACCTTTCAGGTTTCATTTGAGGTCACTGTAGGCTGAGGCTAAGGGGGAGGCAGATGATTCCGAAGTACAGATGCTATGAGGCTAATAGTCTTCACTGACTTTTTTTTCTTTGGCATTTAATGGGGGTGAGGGAAGGTGGGTGAATTCAAGAGTTTATTGGTGCCAGGGATGACCCCCTTCCCCACCTGCCCCATCCCAGGTGGGAGCCTATGAGTGTGGAGTGTTGAATACGTTGTCAGATCTAGTGCCTATATTATTTATTTTGTTTTCCTTAATAGCATTTCTTTGTAACCGTTGGAAGGCTCACTGGGGGTGGGGCTTAGGGATGGATAGAAGGGGGATGGGGGAGGAGTATATTCAGAAAAGAGGATGATGTTAGAAAAACACATACTTGTCTGCACTCTCTACATTGTAGATTGATTTATTAGTTTTGCTGAACTGTTGTTTTTCTTCTTAAAATTCTTGGCTTGCAAGGATGGCTTACTGGGTAGGGGCAGGAAAGGGATACATTCAGAAACGAATGTGATAAAAAGCAAAATATTTTAACAAAAGTTTTTAAAAGGCCATCAGTGAAACTCAAAAATACATAAGTAGATGACTAAATAAA